ATTATGAGACAGTGTCGATACCTAACTGTTTTTTCCAATTATATGCCAGTATAACCAGTTTATTTCAATTTTCGTTTCCTAACTGCTAATTGGTGAGTATATATAAACTATTAAATTGTATTTAATAAAAAACCGACTTCAATTTATGGCAAAATCTGTTATTTTTATTTAAAAACTAAACTGATATGGTACAATTTCTATAAGACTAACCTATAAGTCTAATATATAAGTGACAAAATACAGCAATAAACGATGATTAATAGATATATTACTTTGTTTGAGTTTAAACATAAAACCGGTTATTTTAATTTTATAGTTAAAATACTGAACCGATTTTGATACAATTTCTATGGCGAAACTCTGTAAGTATATCCTTTGATATACATAAAGAATTTCCCAAATCGGTTTACAACTGACGAAGTTATGAGGTAACAAACATAAAAAATTACAATCGAATTGAGAACCTCCTACCTTTTGAAGTCGGTTGAAAATGTTAAATACAAGTTTGTTTATAAACTCTTTATTTATCTCTCTCTTTAGTCTTATCATCGGATGCTAGTGAGTGGTTAAAAATAAATTGCCATTTTTAAACCTACTTACATATTCATCATCATTAATTACTTATTTGTAGTCGGCAAAATTTACTTAGATATATAAATAGAAATAAAGGAAAAGGATCCTTTGTTCTCTATGCACAGTCTTTTCCACATTCACTCCCATTCTGGCCATATCATCTTCCACACAGTTCATCCATGTCTTTTTAGGTTTTTTTTTATAGAACTTAGAATAGCAAACAAGCTGACGACCCATCTGATGTAAAGTGGTAACCGTCGCCTATAGATATGAGCAGTACCATGGACATAATAGAGTATACTGTTTCGCCCATGATACCCCTATGCGTTGCCATTCTAGAGGACTCAGGTGTTATTCCTCTGTACCCTGTAAATTCACGCCATATCCCACCCTTCAAACCGATACACAGCCATGCAAACACAGCTGCTTCACGGTTGAAACACGAATGGGTCTTCCTCTGCCCTTATAGCCATCGGAATTCGTACTTAATACCTTTATTAAAATATACTCCTCATCCCTGCGCATCCCGTGTCCACACCAGGACCGACTGTCACTCCTTAATTTATCTATCATCAGCGCAACTTTCATTCTTCTTTCTACTCTAATATAATCCTTCTTATACTTTGTCTATTGTTAAAAGACTTAAATAATTTAAATGGAAGCTTGTATATATTACTATAAATCGAAAAGCTTTGCCTGCTTCTTTTGGAAGCCACTTAAAATGGCAATACATCACTACATATAATAAAACAGTTCCCCGTCGCATCTGTTTGTACGTTCGCGTTAATTTCAAATACTACTAAACGGAGTTTCATGTAGTTTTCATTTATCAATAGAGCGATATCTGAGGAAAGTATATGTGTACAATTTGTTGAGATTTTGTCTGGAAGTTTTCATCCAAACGCTGCTTAATTAATTTGAGATATAACTAAATATTATGCAGTGGTATTTATTCTCTTTTATATACCTACAAATAAGTTCAGGATGCGATATGTCTATCGTTTAAGGATAACTTAATATACCCATCTAATTAATAATAAACCTAAACACTTACAGATTTAAATATATTATTAAATAGAAATAAATATTTATATACATATATTTAATTATCACACATCTTGTAGTACCTCTAATAAAAATGTGCTCAAATTTTACTTGTGTATGTATCTGCATTAAACTACAATTCTTTCTATGCGTAATAAAGTAGAAAAACCCGACGTAATCTACATATATTGGGATTTTTAAATATAAAAATCCTATATTAAAAATAAACCCATCTAATTCACACTCGACGGAACAAACTAATGCAAAAAAATGTTAAGTTGTTAAGTATACTTTTTTGTATCAAATTTACCAATTACCATCATTGCATCACCGTTATTTTCCAAGCGTGATTGATGATACGAGATTTTTATGATAACACGATTGTGTTACTTACATATCGATACTTCTCATCAATAAACAATAGCTATAATAACAATTGTTCCATTTGTAGACGTAACATTAATTTGAGTTCGTTATTGTTGTGTAATAATTAGCTGGGTGAGCGAGATTGGTTCGTGCTTGTTCCTCGTAGAATGCTAAACTAGATGGCTGGTTACAACAAATGGATTTTTCAATCCATTTCAATTCACTTGGTTTTTATTTATATTTGTCAACATATAACTCTGTTAATAATAATAATTTGCTTGCCAGAAATATACCTAAACAATATGATGTTACAGTTTGTTTTTTAATGTTCAGTATGTTTCGCCATATTTAATAGCATGCAAATGTTTATAAGTGGTATCCATCAAACATAATGAATCCGTTACATTATTATTTTATTATAATTAACGTTGATTAACATTCTAATATTAAATTATTTCAAATTAATATTTATACTAATACTTGTGTCAAAATATTTAAATCCAGAACAAGTCTAAACTTTAAACTTTGTTACTTCTAAACCGATGTGGTATAATCCTCTTTTTTTATCTGAAAGGATACATTTACAGATTGTTCCTATAGACATTTTATTAAAATTGTTTCAGTAATAATTTCAAGATCAAAAAACTAGTTTTGTTACAATTAAATTTTATTTTTTTTCATTGGACGAAATCTTTAATTATTAAATTATATTTTTGTTGAACAAAAAAATTGCTTGTCGAAAAATCTACATCAAAACACGCTATTTCACGTTGTGTGTATGTTAATATAATTACATTCTAGAAACGCGAATTGCGTTTCATTTCATTTTCATTTATTTATTTTGTAAGTTTGTAAGGAAATATGGATGTTCCTTATTACTTTTTTACACTGCTCAACGGATTAAAATGAAATTTGATTCCGATTCACACGAGCAAAACCGCGAGATATAGATAGTTTAAGATGCCTACGAAATATTTTTTATGTGTGTATATATTGTATAAATCGTTATATATATACCAGAGGGAGACTTTGTACAAAAGTCGTTTGCTTGAACACCTCTATCCCATTCGTGTTTCTACCGCGAAGCAGTTACGTTTGCATGACTGTGTTTTGGTTTGAAGGGCAGGATATTGCAGTGAATTTACAGGGTACAAAGGAATAACACCTGAATCCTCAGGAATGGCGATGCATGTGTGGTATTATGGGTGAAACAGTATACTCTGTTATGTCTTATAATCTCATCGCTTTCCATCAGGTGGACCGTCAACTTGTTTGCCATTCTAAGTTGTATAAAAAAAATATAATTTATTTTTTTAAATTTTAGGGTACAGTGAATTTTTATATACATTTGGCGGATTTAACACCGGACAGTGTTCTCTACCAGTCAACCATTGGGGAAACAGAGGGATAAGTAGACGATGCATTATTGAATATTATTCGATATGTTCAGAAAGTTATTTTTTGCGAAGCAATATGTATTTGTTTTGAGCGAAGATGGTGGTTTTATGATGGTAATCGATACGTAATCCCCGTGCGGACGATACCATCGTACCAATAGTGGATGTAAGGTCGTTCACATGTCGAAAACCACTTAAGCATGTGTACCATGTTTGGAGCTCACACGCTGATCTCGTTCGTGACTAAAATGTATAAAAATACCTATTGCAATAAGCTTACATTTGTTGTTTATCCCACACTAGCTATTTGCTCGATACTTCGAATGTGTGGATTTCATATAAAATAGATCATTGAAATACCAATATAAAGCGATCATGCATACACATCAGAGGGTCTACTATGAAATGAAATGAAAGGGGGAAAGAGATTGTTAGCAATGGAGTTTGACAGCCCCATTACTAGCAATATGCCTTATTACGTCGACCTCCACGTGATTCCCCCTGGAAACCATCGTGAACAATTCTTGTTGAATTCGTCACGATGGGCTAACCCCGCCTGCGCTATAGGTGTACACTGGCGGGGCACCAGTGAGGGATGATACGTGATGATGAAGCAGGTCAGTTGGCTTATCGTGATGAATTCAACAATAAATCAATCACGATGGTTTTCAGGGGAAACAGCGTGGAGGTCGACCTGACAGGGTATATTGATAGCAATGGGATTGCTAATCTCCATTACAAACAATCCAAATCTCTGGAAATGTGGAACAAACAACAATTGTGCATTAGGTATCAGAGGGAGACTTTGTACAAAAGTCGATTGCTTGGGTACAGAGGTACAGGGAACACGAAAGGGACAGAGGTCCCATTCGTGTTTCAACCGTGAAGCAGTTGTGTTTGCATGGCTGTGTCTCGGTTTGAAGGGTGGGATATGGCAGTGAATTTACAGGGTACAGAGGAATAACATCTGAGTCCTCTGGAATGGCAACGCATGGGGGGTATCATGGGCGAAACAGTATACTCTGTTATGTCCATGGTACTGCTCATGTGTATAGGCGACGGTTATCACTTACCATCAGGTGGGCCGTCAGCTTGTTTGCTATTCTAAGTTGTATAAAAAAAAAGGTAGAGTTACTATTCCATTTTCATTCATTAGATACATAGATAGATATACTCATATAATTTATTTGCGTTACTTACAGCACACAAATAATAACAGACATAGATAGACATACAAAAAAAAAACATAAAAATATAAAATAATACATATTAAAAGAAAAACTAAAATACATAAAATAAACAACAATGTTTTCCTTTCATTCTTTCCTTAAAAAATAAATAAATACACGCATATTTACATGTCGTTGTTGTCAGTCGTATGGTCCCGCCATAAAATAGGACACCCCTTCTTTTCCCGTGGGTGTCATAAGTAAAAAAGGGCGAGGTATGGGCAGCAGCATTCCTCTTAAAACATCTCTAAAACCTAACTGCGGTTGCCAATCCACCTGCCAAGGGTGGCAACTATTGACAAACCTCCTTAAAGAGGAGGCTTGTGTTCAGCAGTGGACAGTTAAAGGCTGGTATGATGGTGATGATATTTTCATGCAGGAGTAGACTTACCATGTGTGTGCGGTATTTGTTTAGAACGCGCAGTCGCTACTAGCGCCACCAACAACAACACGCTCCACATCGTTCAGTCTGAAACAATACGGACCAGTAATTAAAAAAAATATACTGTTAAAGCCTGACATTATAAATTTACATGTCATCTTATTATTATTTTTTTCTCTTTACCCGATGTAGACCCAGAGGGAGACTTTGTACAAAAGTTGATTGCTTGGGTACCTCTGTCCCATTCGTGTTTTAACCGTGAAGCAGTTGTGTTTGTATGGATGTGTTTCGGTTTGAAGGATATGACGTGAATTTACTGGGTACAGAGGAATAACACCTGAGTCCTCAGGAATAGCAACGCATGAGGGGTATCATGAGCGAAACAGTATACTCTGTTATGTCCATGCTACTGCTCATGTCTATAGGCGACGGTTACCACTTTCTATCAGGTGGGCCGTAAGCTTGTTTGCCACTCTAAGTTGTATAAAAAAAAATTATATGACAAAATTTGTAGTTGCACAAATGAACTCTCTCTGTATATTTTTCTTTAATAATATAAAGCTACTTCTAACTACCTTCGAGTTTTTATTCGCTTCACATGTCTTAAAAGACATATACTATACAACAATCAAGAAAGAATAGGACCCAAACAATGTTGCCAATAACAAGAAAAAGATGAATTGAAATCGGTTTTCTTGTAGGGGACAATCATTAAGAAAGAAATATTTTTATTCAAAGGACTAAGTTTCTTTGAATAAAAATATTTAAGCCCATTTATTTAATTATTTCATTTTATTTATTATAATACAGGGATAGTTTAAAAGCAAAAAAGTCGAAAAGATCCTAAAGTTCAACTAAAATTCAAAAAAGGTTTTTCTGTCTCTACTTCGGACTACTTTTAATAGATGGCGTTGTACTCGTAAGTGATACGAAATTTACCGAGACATCTAGTACTCTATGAATTTGACCACGACGGTCATTTGCTTGACAAGGTCTTAAGCTGAAATGTCATACACTGTATTGTTACAGATATGATTACGATCTAGTGAAAGGCCGCGTGGCACGCCTTGCTGTTAGGGTTGCCAACTCTCTGATATTGACTGCGAACTTTGTAGCAAATATTATGTAAGCAGTTAATTGCAAATATGTACTACCCATGCTCATTCTTAATAACAGCAATTTTAATTGTCATAAAATGAATATAGTGGTCCTATAAAGGAGTAGCCATTACTAATTTTAATAAGAGTCATGAAAATCGGTTCTGAAATCTTAAAAATATGGTGCAACACATACAAAATATAAACTGAGAATCTTCTCATTTAGAAATTTATAAAACGGAGTCCTTTTTCACTTTTCATATCATTTTATTTATGTGTGATTAATGGCTATTTTTCAACCAACTTCAAAAAGCTCTCTCTTTTTTAAGTCGATTGAAAAATAGTTCAATTCGTTTATATTTTTATATGTTTGTTATCTCTTAACTTTGTAAGTTGTAAATTGATTTGGAAAATCATTTTTCTTCTGTCGTCCATTTAGTAGTTTAACTTTGAAATCGAAATATTTGCTTTTGTCATAATTGAAGACGCTTTTTTGTGGAATATAATGTGAAATTTTCTTTATTTATATGGCCATATGCAAATTATTATATATATATTTGGAGATTGTTTTTCATCAAAAATCAATTATTATTCTAACGGTGTTGCCAACAGTCAAATTAACTGTTTTCGTTTAATGAAGCAGCCCAAGTCTAGGTTTGAATCACAGGTGAGTGACCATGATTCGAGAGTTGACCTCATGGTAGCTTATATCCTTTTTTGGGCTTAAAGTAATCACTTGAATTTGCCTACGCACATTTAAATTAGGTTGGCAGTAGAACAAAAAAAAAAAACATCAACGTAACTTGTAAAGTAAATGAAGTAAACTAGTACGTAGGTAGGTAAATGTAGATTTTGCTCCACAAATTTCGATCGCGACTCCAATCGTGACAAAATACAGCAATAAACGATGATTAATAGATATATTACTTTGTTTGAGTTTAAACATAAAACCGGTTATTTTAATTTTATAGTTAAAATACTGAACCGATTTTGATACAATTTCTATGGCGAAACTCTGTAAGTATATCCTTTGATATACATAAAGGATTTTCCAAATCGGTTTACAACTGACGGAGTTATGAGGTAACAAACATAAAAAAATACAATCGAATCGAGAACCTTGTTCTATTTGAAGTCGGTTGACAATAAGCTAGAATCCCCTCTAGGATCTCAGTTAGACGATATTTTTTATGTATATATTGTTAAGTTCACTAATTCTGCATTGATTTTGACACAAAGTTACTCTATCTTCATTAATTCTGCATTGATTTTGACAGTTGTTTCAATCGACAGACATTACACTTTTTGTCACGAATGAAGTCACTATTTGTTTGTGGAGTAAAATTTTCAATAATCATACGAAAGTCTAGAGAGACGATTGTCACTTGCAAGCTGTCCACAGTGTAACTAGCCGCTAAAGCTGTTTGAACAACTGTGACAACTAAATACCATGTAATAGGATGTGGTCACGCGCTGTATGTATTTACTAGTACCTGCTGCGTAGTGTTGCAATATTTAAACTGATCAAATATATCCACACACGGTCGTATGTGACCTAGTTTGAATGAATTTGGATTTGTTGTACATATATCAATATTGGTTTACGTTCAATATGTAGGTTGTTTGCCATTTAACATTGTTTATATTTAATATTATTTTATTCTTCGCTTAATTTAGTTTAAATAAATATAATTATAACTCACTAATGACTTGCTCTAGCTTCGCACGGTCTTATTAAAAATGAAATACATCTTAGTTGATATATTAGCAACTATATATGTATTATATAGCTATTTAATTATGATAGCTTTTTAAAATTTTGAGGGGAAGAATTTTTAAAATCAGTTATTTTTGAGTTATTCATTATAAATAAAAAGTCAAATATTTCCTCTTTTGACATTAGTTTACAATTAGGTTTTGCTCCATAAATATAAATAGCGACTTCGATCGTGACAAAGCAATTGTCTAATTGTGGCACTATTCTTATTTTAAAACGAATAAAACGCATCAATTGAAAAAGAAGAGTCATTGGAAGATTCGATTTGAAATATATGAATTTAGAATTCGTAATCGTGCGACAAATGTAGAAATACGGATATATCACACTAACAGTTTGCCCCGCAAAATGACAATGACTTCAATAGTGACAAAATTGTTATGACTCCAACACGGAACTAATACCAAATTTAAGAGAAAGAAATTAGACGTCTACAGAATATTTGTGTAGGCGCACAAAGAAAAATCAAAACGGTAAACCATTTTGCGTCTTAAACTGGACCGAATATTGTATAATTAATTATATACAATTAGAGTTGACCAACGGGAGTGCTAACAGTTAACTTTTTAACTGTTTTACACCTTTCGACCTGACGACACGATTTATGATACGGAAATTATAGTAGGCTACATTATACAGGACTATTTAGACTTGACGAGATTCTATTTTTGAATTGAGTTTTCTAAAATTAGCACTATGATACCACATAACGATGTTGTTTCATGCTGATCTCCGAAGCTCAAGCGATTTTAATAAAAAATTTTAATTTGTATTGTTTTCAATCGACTGTAAAGCAGAAAGTTCACAATTTGGTTGTATTTTTTTCTATGTTTATTACCTTATCGTAATATAATAACTCATGATTTAGATATTTTTTTTTAATTGGAAGGATAAAAATTTTATCAAAGTTAATTTAGTAGTTTAGTTTTTAAATAAAATAAAACTGGTTTTTTCATAACTGGAGTCACTTTTTTCGTGGAAACCATGTTTAAGCATATTTTGCGTTTTTACGGCTTCACCCATAACTTTGAAAATTGGCATTTTTGGCATATATATTATAAAAGATGGATATATAGGCTACATTTTATCTCAGTCACTGAATATATCCCAATTACGTGGATAAAGGTGCGGGTAAAAGCTAGTCATACATCATCAACTATTGTTGGCATAATCACTATCCAATCCTCCATTGTCTTTATGAATATGTATGAACAAACAGACATGTTGATGTGCCGAAAAACCTCACGATTACAGATGATCATCGTATATACGAGGTGATTACAAACGAGTATGCGGTCCTGATCGCCTATAATCATCTGTTATGGCTTATTGTTAAGAGCCACAGGCGATCTTATAATTCACCATGGCACGCCACGATATGGTACAATTTTACCGTCACGAATTTGATAGGCGAGCTAAATAATTATACAATTGTATGGAGATGCTTTTCGATTTAACTAACGTGCACGTCTACATTATTATAATGCAGTGAAAGTTTTTTTTTAAGAAACTTAGATTGGCTATTTGGTATAGAAGGACGACTCACCTAATGGTAAACGGTAACCATTGTCTATAAACATGAATAACACAATATACATAAAATGCCATATGGTCCCGTCATAGAATGGACCGCCCTTTCCTTTCCCGTGGGTGTCGTAAGAGACGACTAAGGGAGCATAATGCTCGGGTAATAAATGTGGTTGCCAACCCGCATAGCAACTATTAGCAACATCCCCCTTACGGGAAAGGCTTATGTTCAGCAGTGGACAGTTAACAACTGACATGATAATGATGATGATGACGTCAAAGAATATGTTGTGATGTTCATAGTTACCTAATGCGTTACCATTCCTATAGATTAAAACGGCATAAGACCATACCTCTGCATTTTGCAATTCTACTGCCATATCCCACCATTTAAACTGAAACACAGTCGTACAAACACAGTTGCTTCACGGCAAAAACACGAGTGGGACAGAGGTACCCAAGCAGACGACTTTTGTACAAAGTCTTCCACTAAAAAACGTTCACGATATCGTCAAGATTATGTCCGCAAAAAACAAACCGACATCGACTGTGATAAAAGCATTTATTTTGATTTAAGAACTAAAATACTGAACTGATTTTAATAAAATATCTATAAGACTAACCTATAAGTAAATTTATTTTAGATAATAAAAGAATTTTCCAAATCGGTTTACAACTGATAGAGT